ATGAAATTACACTTTGCACCTTGCTAAGAAGTTAGTGGAGCGTGTGTGGTTTACCGGCACACTAATTGGTTCTAAGCGAAGGTGGCAAAGGGTGATTCATTGTTTATCATAGTTCGATGGAGCGTGTGTGGTTTACCGGCACATCGAATAGGTGATCGTTACAATGAAGGCACCATGTGAATTTGCATGGTAATTCACACCCGCTTTGTGATCCTCGGCATCCCAGTCACAAAGAGAGGGCATATCGAGATTTAAACATGCCATTGAATAGTTTCAATGAATCTCATCCGAACCTAGGAATTCTCAAAAACACTTAGGACTAATAGTTTAAGTTTTGTGATGGAGAATTAGTGAATCGTCATTCACTTACCTTCAATTTATTTGCATGTTAGATTACGGCATCCCTTTTCTAGTATGTAAATGTTATTGTTGGATCCTAGCCCTAATTTTCTTATTGGGTGATAATTAGGGATTATTATTCTAATCTATCTTTGTCCTTTTTCTAATTGAAGATGTCGAACGCAAACAACGTTGCTGCTAGTTCTTTCACGTTGATGAGCCTTTGCCAAAAGGTCACCTTCGATGGAACGAACTTTAGCGAATGGATAAGATACATTCGCACCATTGCTCGCTATGAGGATAAAGAGTATGTCCTCGATGAGAAGCTCGAGAAAATCAACCCCGAAGTTGCTACTCCCGAAGAAATCACCGCCTTTGAAACTCATGAGCGAGATGCAACGAAGGTACATTGCATCATGATCGCCACCATGAACTCCGAATTCCAAAAGTCCTATGAGGACATGTATCCATACGAGATGCATCAAGACTTGTTGGAGAGATACCACCAAAACGCGAGACAAGAGCGTTATGAGATTTTCACTAACATGATCTCCGCTAAGATGGGTCATGGAGAATCTCTTACCGCTAAGATGGGTCATGGAGAATCTCCGCTAAGATGATCTCCGCTAAGATGGGTCATGGAGAACCACGAAGGATGGGAACCGCTTCTATGTGACTTTTACCGATGACTATAGTAGATATGGGTATATCTACTTAATCAAGCAAAAGTCAGACACCTTTGAAAAGTTCAAAGAGTTCAAGAATGAAGTGGAGAATCAATTGGGCAGGAAAATCAAGATGCTTCGATCCGATCGAGGAGGAGAGTACCTAAGTCTTGAATTCCACGATTATCTCAAGGAGTGTGGAATAGTTTCACAATTGACGCCTCCTAGGACACCGCAGTTGAATGGTGTGGCAGAAAGGCGTAATCGAACCTTATTGGATATGGTTCGCTCTATGATGAGTCGTGCTTCACTACATATCTTCTTTTGGGGGTATGCCTTAGAGACTGCCGCCCATATCCTTAACCGAGTCCCTACTAAGAAGGTTGCCAAAACACCTCACGAGATGTGGATAGGGAAAGCTCCCTCGTTGGCACATATCAAGGTTTGGGGTTGCGAGGTTTTCGTAAGACGAGATACTCACGACAAGCTTGAACCTCGAAGTGAGCGATGTATTTTCATCGGCTACCCGCAAACATCCTTTGGATATCTCTTCTATAGACCGAAAGACAATGTTGTCTTTGTTGCGAGGAGAGGAGTTTTCCGAGAGCGAGAACTCATAAGCCAAGGAAATAGTGGGAGGCAAATCGAACTTGAAGAGATTTTAAGAATCGATAGATGAAGGAACCTCTACCGCTGGCATTCAACCCGAGGAGGAAACTCCGGTTGAACCGATTGACGAATCCTTACCTCTTAGACGTTCCGATAGAGTTAGAGTTCATCCCCAGTTTTATGGTTTTCATATTATTACCGAAGGGGACACGTATATTAGTGATGGTACACTAGTAAATCTTGATGAACCTAATAGCTATAAGGAAGCCATGGCAGGCCCGGAGTCTGCGAAATGGAAAGAGGCAATGGATAGCGAGATCCAATCCATGTACGATAACCAAGTTTGGAATTTGGTTGATTATGTGCCCGAACGTAAGACCGTTGGGTGCAAATGGATCTTCAAGAAGAAGACCGACGTGGATGGGAACGTACACACATATAAGGCGCGATTGGTCGCGAAGGGCTTTACTCAAACTCCCAGAGTTGACTATGATGAGACCTTCTCACCAGTTGCGAAGATTAAATCTATTAGAGTGATGCTAGCAATTGCCGCATTTCATGATTATGAGATTTGGCAAATGGATGTCAAGACCGCTTTCCTTAACGGAAAGTTGGCTGAGGATGTTTACATGGCTCAGCCAGAGGGGTTTGTGGATCCGAAGCATCCGAATAGAGTGTGTAAGCTTGAGAAGTCCATTTATGGACTTAAGCAAGCGTCTCGCAGATGGAATCTTTGCTTCGATGAGAAAGTCAAAGAGTATGGATTTGTACGAAGCGAAGACGAATCTTGTGTATATGTCAAAGCCAGTGGGAGTATAGTAAGCTTCCTCGTTCTATATGTCGATGACATATTACTCATAGGAACGACATCCCGACTCTGCAGAGGTTAAGTCCTGGCTCAGGAAGTGCTTCGCTATGAAGGACCTCGGAGAGGCTTCTTACATTTTGGGAATAAGGATAGTAAGAGAAAGAAGTAAGAGACTAATTGGACTTAGTCAGAATACTTACTTAGAGAAGGTACTAAAACGTTTTAGTATGGAAAACTCAAAGAAGGGAGAATTACCGATACAAGGAAATGCCAAGTTGAGTAAGACTCAAAGTCCGAGTACCGAAGCTGAGATAGCAGAAATGAGCCGAGTACCATACGCTTCCGCAGTTGGCTCAATCATGTACGCTATGACTTGTACTCGCCCTGATGTAGCCTTCGCTTTGAGCATGGTTAGCAGATATCAAGGGAACCTGGCAAAGCACATTGGATTGCGGTGAAGAACATCCTTAAGTACCTTCGGAGGACGAAGAATGGTTCTTAGTCCTTGGAGGGAGTGATGACTTGAAGGTGCGAGGGTATAGTGACGCCAGCTTTCAGACGACAGGGACAACTACCGTTCGCAGTCGGGCTGGGTCTTTACCCTAAATGGAGGAGCAGTGACATGGAAGAGTTCCAAGCAGGAAACCGTAGCTGATTCAACGTGCGAATCAGATTACATTGCAGCGAGCGAAGCGTCGAAGGAGGCAATATGGCTAAAGAACTTCATTGGTGATCTTGGAGTTGTGCCGGCCATAAAGGAGCCCATGGAGATTTTCTGTGATAACGAAGGTGCGGTTGCCTTGACCAAGGAACCGAGGGATCATGGTAGATCTCGACATATCGACAGAAAATATCACTTCATTAGACATCGTGTAGAAGAAGGACAACTCGTAGTGAAGAGGATATCATCAGAAGATAACCCAGCAGATCCGCTTACAAAGGGACTGAGTAGGGTTAAGCACTTGCAGCATGCTAGGAGTATTGGGCTGAAGGATGATATTAGTATAGATTAGATAGTATTAGAAACATATAATAGATAAATGTAATTAACATTTGATGATTAAATAAAGGAGTTTTATTTATGAGTAAAGTTAGTGTCACATGTTAATTGTTTAACTATTGTTTCACTTTGCATGTTTTGACTTCCAGAATAATTAAGTTTATTTGGAATAATCGAATTATTCAAATGGTCCACAATCGTTCATATGTTGGGAGTAGATATGAATGAAGATTGTCATGAATTGGTGTGTAGAATGTCTAAATGGTGTTAGACATAGCAAGGGTTGCGGCAACGTTCATGAGTGCTTATGAACTGGTTTTGAGCATTGGAATAGACCCAAGCTTGCTGGAATCACTTTATGGAATACGATATAAAAGGTGATCGCAAGACGATAATATCATATAGTCTTAAAACCTATATATATGATTTATTATTTGTTAATTGATTGTGCATTGATAATGCGAAAACGCATCAGTAACTTGGTGTTATAAAACGCATTGTTGTGTATAGTTGGTTAATGAATAAGTAAATGCATATAAGTCGAAGTTTATCTGTAAATTTTATCCTAAGAGGGTAGAAGAGATATCTTGGCCACTCGATGATTTGATTTGACTTATGTGCCGGGACCGGTCAGAACTGAATTGATGTGTTTGATTAAGTTCTATGTCAAATAAATCAGAGATCGAGAAATCTAAATGCTTGACTAACCATTCCATAGGATTGTCAGCATGATATCTAACAGAGGACTGTACGATCCCTTATCTAATGGACAAGATTGATTAGATCAGAGTTGACAGTGTCTTTGAGAGCTACGATTGCAAACCGAATTGTACTTGTATAGTTACTAGACTTATCCAAGTGGGAGACTGTTGGAATAGTGTCTAAGGCTGCAACTATATTAGGCAAGTATTTGATCCGGTTGTGCATGGTCCTTTTGGGTTGCCTTCAACATAGAAACTTGATGGATGATTTGTTAAAAGAGAGTAAATATTATAAGGAATAATATATGGTTATTTGATTAATATAAGTCATAGAGTAATTGGAATTAATTTGGTGACTTAAAGAGATTAATTAAATAAGAGGGTATAAACTATCAATTGTTTAATAGTTACACTTTAGACTATAAATCCTTATCCTAGATAGGATGGATGATTTCTAGGGCTTGGATAAGCCAAAATCGTCCATAGGGTTATCTAGGAAAGGATATGGATCAACTTGTAAAGCCCCGTTTATTTGTTAAGTCAATAAATAAAATAATGAGCGAATAGTAGCCCTAAAATAAATAATTATATATCAATGGATGGTCTCGAGGGGCTAATTGTCATAAATTTAGAAGTGGAGGGCTACAGGGAAAATATGGGATTTAATTTAAAGAGAACTTATGGGGAGGGACCAATTTTGCCATTATGGCAATATGTTATGGTGTCGGGTATATAACACATAAGAGAACCCTAAACCTTGAATCAAATGCGGCCGCCACCATGCCTTTTCACTTCTCATTTTTTCGATCAGCAAGGCCGTTACCCTCCTTCTTCATTTTCGATCGTCGCCATCACCATAAAAGCTCCTTCAACCGCCGATGGCATCACCGAGTTCGAAAGCTCTCGTCTCCGCCTATTGCTTCGTCGACGAAGGCTGCCATTCCACCACCTGTTGCCGTTGGTTAGGTCGTGTATGGCCGGAGATGGCCTATGACCGCTGCCCGTTTCGAACTAGTCACGTTGCTGCCGTTCTCTTCTTTTTCTTTTGCCCCATCCGCCGCCAAGGGCTCACTTCTATTGCTCCAGTCATGGTCACAACCCCAAAGGGCTGTCGAATTCATTTGGTTTATCACCTGTCGATTTGGGGTGCGCTTCCTTGCTCAGCTCGTCTAAGTGCCTGTATGCCTGCTTCCAGTTGGCCAGAAAAGCGTGGAAACAACCATAGCAGCCGCCATGGTGGCCATTACCTTGTTGCCGCCGGCTTATGCCACAAAGTGAGTGGTTGGCTTCCCTCTCCGAGTAAATGAATGAAGAGGTGCACGATTCAGTCGATGTGTGCGTGGGTCATTGGCCGAAGTCCTCGGAAAAGGCATCACCACCACCATAGGGTGGTGGCTGCCACCATCTGCCGCCGCCGGCCACCACAAGGTGGCTGTGTGTGTGTGTGTTTAATTGTTTAGTGTGTTTATTTTGATATTTAGCATTGTAAAATGTAAATCAAAGCTTGGAATAATAAAAGAACTTGAAAACCACCACCTTAGGGTGGTGGCTGCCGCCTCCTGCCGACACCGACCGCCGTGTCGGGTGGCGGTGTGCTTTGATGGTGTTTGGACTCGTTTGGATGATTGGACAAGGGACTAAAACCCTAATGGGCCTTGAAACCCTATTGGGCCTAACGAAGCTTAAGGGACTCTAATGGACCCAATAAAACCCTAATGGGCTTAATAATATTTTAGTGGGCTTGATAGGCCCGGTAAAGCCCTAATTGACATAAAAGACCAACAAATTGATAAATTGGCTAATATTTGGATTGGAAAACCCTAATGCCATTAAAACCCTAACTTTAAGAATTATTCGGGTCACACAAGAATTATTTAATAACTTGAGATATTAAATAATAAGTGTTGGCAAAGATTAATCTAAGCGATAATGGACTTAATGGATTAAGTCCTTAATGGGTTAAGTAGGAAACTTAACCCTAATCATCATTTTATGTGAAACCCTAATTTCACTTGGGTTTATTGTTGGGCCTTTCTATTGGGCCTTGATGATTGGATTAATAATAGGCCATCCAAGAATAATTATATGGTCTAAAATGATTTAATGGGCCTAGGGTAAGTCCCATGTAAGGGGTTGGGCCCAATTTGTAAAATTGGGCCATAGATGGACCATAGTTGGGCCTTAATGATTGTATGATGTTGGGCCTTAGAATAAGACCATGTATAGGCTTGGGCCCAATTTGGAAAATTGGGCCATGCGTTGGGTTTTGATTCCTAGTCGACTTTGGGCCTATGGATTGGGCCTTGGGCTTGAATAAGCCAAGCTAAGGGTAATGTAGTAATTACCCAAAGAATGTACTTATGGTTACGTATTGGGACCCAATTATTAATTGGGTGTTATTTTGGTGTTGACAGTTCGGGAATCTATCAGCCAGCAGCTGGGGTCGAGTCTGCGGGACTTCAGCAAGTGTGGGATTTTGTCTTCGGGACTTCAGCAGTGTGAGGTGAGTTTCCTTCCAGTAGGGACGGGTCTAAGGCCACAATGCCAGCCCGTTCAGTTAGCAGTAGTTTCCGAACTTCGGTCCGATGCAGTAGCTAGTATGTTTGATGCCTTCGTGGCTCAGACAGGATTTATGCGCTATGTTTATGTGTTATGTGTTATGTGTTCCGGGTTACGGCCCGATGTAGTATGCAGTATATGTGTTCATGCTAGTTGATATGTTATGCTATGCTACGATTCAGTCAGTTAGCCCGAACTTCGGTCCGATGCAGGGGACAAGGTCCCAGTCAGTTCCGGACTTCGGCCCGATGCAGTTAGTTTCGGACTTCAGTCCGATGCAGGGGACAAGGTCCCAGTCGGTTCCGAACTTCGGTCCGATGCTGTTAGTTCCGGACTTCGGTCCGATGCAGTTAGTTCCGGACTTCGGTCCGATGCAGGGGACAAGGTCCCAGTCAGTTCCGGACTTCAGTCCGATGCAGTTTTCGGGCTTCGTCCCGATGCAGTGGGTAAGGCCCAATATGTGTTTATATGTTATTGTATGGTATGTGGTAGTTTGGGGGAGCTCACTAAGCTTCGTGCTTACAGTTTCAGTTTTGGTTTCAGGTACTCAGTTTTCAAAAGAGGAGCTCGGGAAGATTGCAGTGCACACACCACAGCTTTAGCTTTTATCCTGGGAATTGATTTAGCTTGTTTTGATTTGACATAGTACGATACAGTTTTTCGCACAGTGTTTTCTTTTATTATGTTTGGGATACATCACGTATGATTTTATGATATGACACTCAGATTATGGTTTTGATTATATTGAAAAACGAAATTTTTGGGTCGTATTTTTGGGTCGTTTCAAGTTGGTATCAGAGCCTTGGTTTGAGGGATTCAGATATGCATTCGAGTGTATTTGAACTCAAACTAAGGACACGATAAAGGATTTTCAAAAGAAAAACATTTTTGAAAAAGGGTTTTGGAAAAAGAATATAGAAAGAAAAGATTTTTGAAAACGAGAAAAGGGTTTGGTGCATGCAATCAGCCGAGCTCAAGTAAGTACTCCCAATTTACCCATACAAGTTATGTTATGATCATCATTATCAGTTTCAGTTTCAATTTCAGCTTCAGTAGAACAACATGCTAGAATAAGACTAAGGATCTAGGATGATGCCTTATGTGCCTGTTTTATGTGTTTCAACTGATAAGAATTGCATGCTAGTATTGAGTAGATAGTAGTAGGATAGCCTGTGCAGGTTATGCCTGATAGCATGAGCTTAGCATTGTATGCTAGTGCAGTTTCTTGTTATGTGAATTGTTTTGCCTAAGTATGTTTCCTTTATCCGAATGATGCTTGCTTTGTGCTTTGTGGGACTCTGAGTGATGGGAGTTAGCCATTAGGTGAATACGTCACATCACATGTGATTAGGGTTGGATAATCTAAGAGTGCTAGATTTGGCCCTACTACGCAGCTCTTGTCTGAGTCCAACCGTTGTAGGGATGAGACTTTTACTCGAAGGATTATCCGAGCCTCATCACATGTGATGGTATTCAGGTGGTGGCTAATTGGCATTACAAGGAGGCCTTCAGCAGCTGAGGACTGTTTGGGTAGAGTTAGAGGTTCCCTAGGGCAAGCCTAGGATGAGAGTAGCAGAGATCAGTAGAAGAGTAAAGGGGACTTGGTGGAGTTGAGGTAACTCTTGAGGAAAGTACGGATAGATGTGGAAGGTAGTAGGGGCCCATACTACTGAAAGCAGAGGATCCGTACTCGATTCAAGAGGGGCCGAGGCGAAACCAAGGAACTAGTAGAGTATGTGAGAGATCCCTCAGCAGTAGTATGTAATTGGTCAGGGATTGTTATATTTTCAGCATGGTGACGTTGCGCGAGATATCAGTTGGCAGTTCAGGTGCAGGGGAGGGGTCTGGCTCAGGCTTTAGAGCCGAACAACTTGATGATCGGATGAGGGATTTCATTTCCGCAAAGATTATGCGCAACATCATCGATCAGACTCCAATGATTTTCGGTTCAGTTAGAGAGGCTATTGTGGAGCTCATGGACAGTCATCTTGAGGCCTTTAGGGCCGGGATAGTTTTAGGACAGATTAAGGCTCGTCTAGGTCCCGAATCTTATGGAGTTCAGGGATCCATCAGGGAGGGAGGTCCCATTTCTAGTTTCTGCTATCAGGGGGCAGGGGTGTGTGGGGCATTCTGTCTCCAAGAGAAACCATTGCATGATTGGATGGTTAAGGAAGTTTCGCGAGCCATTCGCGAGGGTCTGCCAGACATGGTCGTGAGGATCACTGATAGATTGATAGCAAGGCTTTAGGATCAGACATCTGTTGTTCAGTCAGCAGACGTTGCCGTTGGGGTAACGCAGGAGCGAGGGTCGGAAGGGAAGAGGAAAATGGATGAGACTCAGGTTGCCATAGGTTCGAGTAAGAGGTCCAAGAGTTCAGATTTGAGGATGAGGAACTATCAGAGCCGCAGTCGATGCGGGAAGTGCGGAAGGACGCACATGGGTGTGTGTAGGCGTAGAAGTGGTGGCGATGCTGGGTGTTTCAAGTGCGGCCAGATTGGTCATTTTAGCAGAGACTGTGTTGTTACCATCGCCCAGGGACTTGATCCGTTGTGTTTCCATTGCAGTCAGAGGGGCCACAAGAAGGCCCACTGTCCGAGTTTGTATTCAGCAGGGCAGGCGCCAGCTCCTGCCCTTGGAACTTCAAGTACCGTCAGTGGTTGTCAAGGCCGGGCAAGGGTGCCTACGGCTCGGAGCTGAGTTTCTCCGGTAGATTTCAGCAGGGATTCGAACAGCACTGAGTAATGGAGGTATGTAACTTTGTTTTTGTCAGCTTATGTTATGATTATATTGTTATGGTTTCTGCATCAATTGTGGTATAAGTGTTGCGTTATGGAGTGGCTTGCTTGTGATTATGTCATATGCCATTTGCATACCTCGGATAATTGGTTGGTAGTTAGGGGATGTGCTCATATGGAGAAGTTTCGGAGAATGCAGTAACTGTAGCATGGTAGGGAGAGATCTGGTTCGTTTCGCTAGTTTGGAGGGGATAGTGGTTTGGATGGAATGGTCAAATTCCTACCTGGCAGGCTTGGGTTCCCCAGTAGAAGTTTTGGAATGGTAGTAAAGGTCGGGATCTCTTTTGAATGTGAAGCAGCAAGGGGTAAAAAGGATCGAAGTGGGGGAGAACCCTCCGGGTATACATGGATAAGAGTCACTCAGAATGAGTGCGCAACCTCTGAGAAGAAGTGGTAGTAGCACAGTGATGGATGGATTGAGAAGTTCAGAATTGAGAGTTCGAGAACTTTTCCCAGCAGTGGGTTCATGTAATGGAGATGGTTAGAAGCTGGTTGGGAATCCAGGATTTGAGGACCACCTGTAAAGGCTCAAGTGAGTCGGAATGAGGATCCGGAGAAAACGGTTAGCAGAAGATGTTTTCGTATTAGTAACCAGTGGCAGAGCCAGCATGCAGGATTATGTGGATTCAGGAGTTGGGAGGTTGGAAACTTCCCAACAGTAGCTTCTTGTATCCGGATCAGTAGACGGTTGGTTTGGGAACCAAGCCGGAGAATTCCTCGACGAAGCGCTAAGTATATCAAGGATATAAGATGTTGGGGATGATGCAGAATTCAAAGACTGAGGGCTGGTTTGAGGAATCGGGATGAGGGATCACTAGCGGGACTAGGGATAGTCAGGATGTCCTCGGGTCAGATAGTAGTAGAGTGTTGTAAGTCTGCGGGGGTAGCTGTAGCATTCACTAGCAGTCAGATAGTAGTAAGTGGTGTTGTAAGTCTGCGGGGGTAGCCGTAG